CTAAAATAACTCGTCCGCGTCTTAGCAGCATGTGGGAAATCAATGAACCTGTCAGTGTCCAGATCGGCCAATGAGTGTACTACACAAGACGTCAGACAATCATACATAAAATAGTTTAAACACAAATGGTGTATGTTCATATGCAAATTATAGTGTTCGCAAAAAAACAATATTTATCTTAAACTTGTAATTGTTAATGTTTTTTGTAGTATAAGTCAGCGCCGAGTGAGGTTCATAACATTCTACCCACATCCGCGAGATTTAGAAATGTAAACTTACGAGTGGTACGCGTCCGTTAAGCTAGAATGACTGGAACTCCAAAGTTCACGCCAAAGTACGACATGAACCGCAAAAGTTGCGTATAAATATAAAATATAATATGGTGAATATGATTCCCGATTATTTTCTGCCACAAAAATGTCTCCTAACCCAAAGTAGAATGGTTAAAATCGGACGCCTTGGTGTGCCTGATAATGTCAGCCATATTGATGTATTCCATAATAAATTAGACAGAACAGCAATATTAGTTTGATTAATTCTTATATCATAAATTATTTATATCGTATGTTTCGATGCCATTAAGTACATATTCTACAAGGTTAGTGTAGGTTCATATATATTCTGGATGCACGATTATGCCAGTGTCCGGATATGCTTTATTGTTTATTCGAAGTACATCCATGTTGTGTAGTGATGACATATATACAGCAAAGAACCTGCATTCCAAAGTTATCAACATGGTGCATCACAGAAATGCCTGCTCGTGATTTTGTCTGAATGGTTGAATATCTATCTAGATTATTAAAGATAAAGTTGACAGGGGGAATTCTTACATTAAATGATGAATGTGACGCCAGCAGCGAATAAAGGAACATTTAGTTCATTATAAAACTCTGTAGTATCTGCCCTCAGGTTCAATGTTGTTTTATATACAGATAACAACCAAATGATACTGAAGTATCATCTGGTGAAGATGTTTAAAAGCAGAATCCCTTATATTTACGAAGTGAGATACGTCGATGATTGGAGGTCATAAATCAGTTATGGTTCCTCCGTGACCAATGTATTAGGGATGTTATAAGTGCAAACATTGGTGTTTTCTGTAAAACTTTCCCCACAAGTGATTTTAATTGAATGCTGTGTAACAAATGGGTGGAATCACAATAACACTGTCGAATGCGTAAGAGTGAACAGGAATCCACTATTTTAACAAGCACAACTGTTGACCGAGGTTAGCTGAGACCAAAGCCTTCATAACTGTTTAAGGCTTCGTCCATAGCACTTCTGAAATCAGCATAATCGTGAAATTTTATTGGAATGTAGACATCTTGGAAACAAGTCTCAGCAATTGGTAGTGGATTTTCGTGAAACCAGACTGTGATGTTACCATACGACTTTGGTGGAAGAACGGGACAACCAGTGATGAACTGAAGAACCTTGGATAATGTGATAGATGACTCCTCCACTCCTAGAAGAAAAAAATCATCAACTTTTTTTAGATTTTCACTATGTTTAATATCTCATATAACAGCAGTTGTTTGTGCTGTAAACACCTGGTCAATAGTATCAACATATTATAATGGTTGTGGACTCATTTTCCAGACGTTCACATCAAAAATGGGTGAGAGGACTCGATAGACATCTATCAGTCGAATTTGGATTTATATCATCTCTCCACGTACATAAGTCAAAGCTATACAATCAGTTGAGCGTTGATTCATATCAATAAATGTAGTGGCCCAGTTCAAAAAAACCTCAAACTCAATGTATACCAGATTAATGCTCGTATTATAAGTTTATTGGGAAACTGACCTACCTGTTGTTTGTCTATGCTCACATTCTTGCAAGTACTTCATGAAGTTCTGAGCTGCTTGTTTCTTGTCTGCTGAATCTCTTGGTTTGAATTTTATCAACGGGCACATCTGACAGTATGTTGTTATACTGTCTTTATGTTTGGGAAATATTATCTCCAATGCTCCTGGATTGTGCTTCAAAAACTGGAAACAAATGTCCGTAAATTATTAATCATGAATTATTACGGGCAAAAACGGTTTATTATTTATTATCTAAGCAGTAAACACTTCATTTTGAATATGTTGTCAATTATCATGGACGACGATTGTAAGCCATGACTACTGAATATTTGAATTTGAATGACAGGTGATAATCGGCTTTTACAAATGTATCCAAACAGTAAACGTCTCATTTTGAATATGTGGGTGGTCACAGTAGCTATGTCACGCGAAAGTGCATAATGAATGAAAACAATGTTCAGCCAATCAATCTCATTTGTGCCTTACACTGTATACTACAAAATTACCTTAAGTAATCTGCGATGTATACAACTGTAGGTTAGGTACATAATCTACGAGATTATGGTTATTGTCTTGGAAGATTCATGATACATGTAATACATCTACTACAACACCCATACAGCGTCTTTATTGTAATTATTTTCCTCCTTATGCTATAATTTGGTTTAGCGTTTGTTGACGTCACGTTATGCAATTAATTATTTATGAAAACGTTCGCAACAGACAAATAAATTAATAAACACAAACTACTGTGACATTGAAGTTATTTTTCAAACACCTTGGTAAGATGATAAACAAATCACCAGCACGCCACATCAAGTAGAACAGTTATTGGCTGTGCACGTTGCCCACATTTGATGCGATTCCTGCGCTGTACAGTGTTGCCGATTGCATCAGTTATATTTTAGGTAAGATCCTGTGATATACACTATATCATGATTGGACCGTTTCCGCCAATCAGTAAACAGAATTCAAGTCTCTATCCTGAGTAGAGATGTTCTAAACGCAAGATTCAACATAGCTGGGCCGTTTCCCCCAATCGAGTGACGGATTCGATATTTCTATCCTCCATAGAGAATGTGAAGATTGTCATTTGGAGCATGGAATACTTAAACTGCCTGGAACTTGAATGTGCGTTTATTATGTGTCAATCTTGCTATCAGAATAAACACTGATACTTATAAAAACAGTATCAGTGACGCGATCTATAGTAGAATTCAAATATTATCGACAGAATTCATTATCTAACCTACGCTTATTGTACTCCTTACTTTTGCCAGCTGTTTGTCTCATTTTCAATAAATTCAATAAAATGTTCTTACTGTGTTTACCTGGATCAGAGACAGACAGTCAAATCCTTCTCTAAATTGTTTCAGCTCGCGTAGACGACATCTAACAATCTGGTGTAGTAGGATTTCTTGCAGCAAAACGTCTTTGTTGTTTATGTTCATCGGTGTTCCGTTGATGCCTGCATCAACTAACAAGTTTATTGTAGTGACATCATTACCTAAGGTTGATAGCTCAGTTGCGCTACAGTCGATGATCTATAATAAGTTCACACAAAATAAGATATATATAAAAAATAATGGAATGTCGAATAACTTAGTATTATACCTAACACTACCACTATTTCGGCCATTAACTGAGATGTGTTTGGTATATTTTTCATCTAGTACCACTAGATTATGAATTTTTGTAGACTAAAAATTATTTTCGAAAACAAAATGTTTAATGGAATGCTGAGTTAGTCTAATTGGTTTTATATTTTTGGTCATTATATTTAACTTGATACTATTCTGTGAGATGTTAAACAACATATAATTGTTATTACATTGATTAATAACATGTTATTAATAATCTTGTCCAAATTTCACCTGTGGGTCCATGGGATACCAAACATCCATGTACAGCGCTAGATTTGCTAGGAGAATTCCCGTTTAATAGAGAAAACATTTTGAATTTGTCACACACAATGAGAGCGACCAAGGCGATGGGCTAAGTTTAAGTAGAATCGTAGTTTAGTGCATAACCTGCAATAACTAGAAACAAATCTTTATCTGTGGTTCAACAATAGTCTTGGACATATATAGCGTCAACTTACCATTTGCAAATGAAGCCTACAATCGGTATCAGGCACGTCATCGACATGTAACGTAACGTACTCAGTACCAGTTTGTACAAACTCCTTCACAGATTGCGCAAGTCCAGCTAATCCCGGCCCTCCCCAGATTATAGAATGTTGCAACATCCTGCCAGCCATTCCATATGTTCCTTTCTCAAGAAGAACTTCATCGTGTGTAAGTACTTTATGATCTTCTTCTCCTTCAAATAATAACATTGGAACGTCCAACTCGTCATCGTCGTCCTTCTTATATCCTGTCATAATACTGTCGATAATTAAAGTCAGAAATTCACGCCTGGGTCCTCCCAAGTCATAAGTCCTATGACTGTCTTTGAATGACACCTCTGGGGTAAGTCTCAGATCTTCTTTGTTACGGTAAATCTCTTTACACTGTCCCCATACAGGAATTGTTCGATCGACTTGAATCTGTATAGTTTCCCCGTCCACAATTGTTCGTATGTGTTCTTTCAGTGCTCTTTTTTCTTCGAACTTATCATCTATCACAAAGTACTTGATTAGTAACTAATAGTAACGTTTATAACATGTTTACAAATTTTGCATCACTGAAAATACAACTTTCGATACGCAGATGAGCGAGCAAATGATTCGGTGTATCCACGGTTGAGTTTGAAAACATTAAAGGGGATGGTCGTCGCGCCACGCATGCGCGAGATATATGGTTCTCTTATAAACAAAGATGGCGACTGTTGGGCTTTAATTAGGCATTTTTTGGGTGATTGAAAGGTATCGATGGAGTCACCGGCGATAATCAGTGCAAGACGCACCCAGGTCAAACCTCATACTTATGATTTCCATTAATAGAGCGCATTGAAATAGAGGGAATCTCAATGTTTATTAACACAAATGTCGCACACACACAGCGCGACGACGATCGCCCTTTAATATGTTGCGCCTTCTCTGCCTAGATATTTTAAGAGTTGGAGACTTGGTCTTGAAAACAAAATTACGAGTATGTCACGCTCACGTCGCTACGTATTTTGGAGGAAAACTACAGCCCTTATTGAGGTGAGGTGCACGGAATCCTTTCCTCTTCATGCATTGAAAAGTGACCCTGAATGTAACTGATGGATTTGTCTAGTTTGTTTTTTTCTGGAAAATCTTTGTAATATTTCATTCAAGTGATACAGTTAAACGCGTTATTTATGTATTCTCTGAATGTACAAAAAGTGAAATGTAAATGTACACCAAACTGTGCATGTCTCGTTTCAAGTTTGTATATCAACAACATACTTTGTTCATGGAGCATCTCACCATCTGTAATCCTCAGATATCTTTGAAAAATAATGCATTGAACATATCACTGATGCCTTCCTACTAAATTTACCGAATCGTGAGTGCCTTACCTGTTTTCACGCGAATTGTTTGTGCATCTCCAATAATGCGTGGGTCCCATTTCTGTGGCGTCACAGATACTGTGTACATTACACCTGGGTCCAGACTTTCTAGTTTATAGGTGGTTGTGTCTTCGTCCAGGTACGCATCTTCTATTTCCACATTGTCCGGTCCTGAATGAGTCACTGCGTAGTGGTCCACCTCGCCAATAGCAGGATACCACCGGACTTCCAAGGATCTGTCGGTGATTTTCTTTGTTCGTAGGTTTTCTATGTATGGCCCTGCAAAATACAAATTGTGAGAAGAAACACTGTTCTATTTAAGTTAAGAGGATAGATATGCATGAGAATATGTATCCTGGAAATGAAAGTGTTTAATATAAATCAAATGTATCTAGACAGTGGCCAGATGCTTTTTGAAAAATTAATTGTATTTAA